GTACATACAAAAGTGGGATGCTAACAATTCCTTGCTAATCATACCCGCTTCGAACATTCCGTGGTCTAGCTCCCTGATACTTTGAGAATTTTCATTTCTTGGACCTTCCTTCAAGTTTGTTGTTAAGACAGGTGTGGAAACATAATTGCATGCCCCATTTTGGTAAGACTCAGAAATTTTTAGCACATTGCTTTCAAGTGGCAAACTGCTCTCAGGTTATTTATTAGATATTAAATAGGTGTTTCTTAACCTTATAGCAGAAGATAATTTATAAGAGAAATACAATTCAAGCTCTATTCCTTATCTCCAGCATGGCTGCTGGGAATTAGATTAGAGGGAATACAAGTAATACTGCTTTTATACTAAGTGAGCTGCTTCATGTTTGGGTAAAAAAAACTGTTGAGAAAAAGTTAGAAATTTCAATTAAGCACTCTGAAATCTCCATATATTAGAAAGATATTAGATTTTTCTTAGAATTCCAAATTTACATTTTGTGTAAACGAGACATATAGAGGGACTATATTGATCTTATTTGCTCAAAAATGGTATTGTCTCCACATAGTATTGAAACTGGTAGCTTTAAAAAAGTAGTCGACTGGGGCTGAAGTGATAGTACAGCTGGTAGCACATTTGCCTTGCACTCGGCCAACCCGGCTTCAATCTCTAGCATCCCATATGGCCTCTAGCACCGCCAGGAGTAATTCCTGAGTGCAGAGCCAGGAGTAATCTCTGAGCATCACTGGGTGTGACCAAAAAAGCAAAAAAAAAAATTTTTTTTTAAGGTAGCCAACTCTTTTCTTGTCCATTTTTGTATGTAATTTTGTATGAACATTTATAATATAATAACATAATATAATTGTATGCATTTATCTTTTAACTCAACTTTTGGAAGATGAAAAAGATCTAACTAAAAAAATAGTAAACAGAATTGCTCCTTATATGCTAGAAGTAAAATTTTATTACGTGTCATAAAATTATTTCCTAATTTTCATTTGAACTTCTTTGGAACAAACTTTGATACAAAAGGACTTTTAATTCAAGTTTGTTTTAAGTGCAACCCAGAGGTTATATTGTAGATTTTGCTATACGCTTTGCCAAATGCAATCAAATATTGACTCTCTAAGAAGAAATTTTTAGAATAGTTAATTACATAAAAAGGTAAAGGTAAATGCCCTCCCATTGTTCGTTGATTTGCTCAAGTGGGCCCAGTAACGTCTCCATTGGAGACTTTGTTGTTACTGTGTTTGGCATATCGAATACCTCACGGGGAGCTTGCCAGGCTCTGCCATGCGGGCGAGATACTCTCGGTAGCTTGCCGGGCTCTCTGAGAGGAGCGGAGGAATCGAACTCGGGTCTGCCATCTTGGCTGCGTGCAAGGCAAATGCCCTACCACTGTGCTATCACTCCAGCCAATTTCTGTTTTATCATTTATTTACATGTATATACAGTGTTAATTATATAAAAATTAAAAATTGTGAAATAAAAGTCTTTAAAGTGCACTTACTATTTTGTGGCATGTGATATTAAAAGAATTATTGTAAATGTTTTTCCTATATCAAATTATTATCTACTTGATCTATTTTTCCTAGAATTTTTTTTCACTTGATTTCATTCAGATACACTCATTGACCTTGACTGAATCATTACTTGGAAAACAATAAAAAAAAGTCTAAGTATTTAGAAAAAAAGTTATAAACTTACTTTTTAGAAGTCATTCTATGGATAATTTAAACAAATCAAAACATCAATATAACAATAAATGCTGCATTAAAAATTATTACTCTTTGGAAAACTAAATGCAATATGAGGAAAAATGAAGAAATAAAGTTAAAAAATAGTTCATAATTTAATTCATTGAATTTCAGTGGTAGAAGCAACATATTTATATGAAAATGTTTTTAATAGAAAAACAGTATCTTCCATTATTTTACTTTTTTTGGTAAGAAAAAAATGTAATATTTCAAAAAGTTTAAAATTCAAGTTTTTACAGCATGGATGTTCAACTGCTTTCTTCCAAAACAGGCATACAAATCTTTGAGAACAAATATTTAAACACTTTAATCGTTCTAAAAGAAATTTTTTCTTTTATTTCTGAACTTTATCTTGGTAGAATTACTTCGATTTTTTTTTTCTGTTTTTATTCTTCCTAAGCAGGAAGAGTGGTGTCGAGAGAGCAGAACAGTTTTGCAACCCCTCTTAACCCAAGGAAATTTTGTGCAACCCTGGTATATAGATAATCGGTATACAAATCAAACATTAGCTGATAATAAATCACAAATCTCTTTTAAATTTTCACATCCCTGAATTCAGTGTGTGACCCCAAACAGGGTCAGCACTTGATATACAAAAATGTGAAGAAAAGGAACTAAATCTGAAAAAAAGACTGAACTTGAGCAGAAAGTGTGTACTGTAGATTTAAAAAAGATGAAAATCAGGGGCTGGAGAGATAGCATAGCGGGAAGGGCATTTGCCTTGCACGCTGCCCATCCGGGTTCGATTCCCAGCATCCCATATGGTCCCCCGAGCACTGCCAGGAGTAATTTCTGAGTGCAAAGCCAGGAGTAACCCCTGAGCATCACTGGGTGTGACCCAAAAAAGCAAAAAAAAAAAAAAGATGAAAATCAGTCTCATGTGTTGTGCTGTGCAGATGAGGTAGTGGGCAAAGTGCTATTCTGGAGATCCACAGAACAGCCTCATTTGGAATGTGTCAGCTAGCCAGCCACCATAAAGGAGTGTCACTTCATTCTACAGTACGGAAATCTCAAAATTAAAATTCGAAAAAGCTGAGGCATCTGATGGATAATGCAAGCACTAAATCTCTTCTTCCTTAGCTACTGGCTATTTTAGATTTTTAAAAATAGTACTCTAAATAGCAGCCAGAGAAATAACACAGGAGGAAGAAATTTCCCTTGCATGCAGTTAACTTGTTAGTTTCCTCTAGAGTTCCCTCAAACACCATCAGGAGTGATCCCTGAGCACAGAGTCAGGAGCCCTAACTCTACCTGTATATAGACAAAAAGCCTACGAAAAAACCAAAAACAGATATTCTGAACATTTTTAAATGATTAGTTTCTTTAGAAATAGAGAATCATCAAATAATAAAGGAAAATAATGTCTTTAGGTAGAAAATAAGTTTAAATCTTTATAAGTAAGGCATGTGCTGAAGTTTCTTTGGCCTCTGTATTGAACTAAATCCAGTTACTAGACTTTGAATTCTCTGCTTATGGAAATCTCAGTCGTGCCTTCTACATACCACTTCTGGCATCCTCAATCTTATGCTTAATCAGCAATCATGTTCTTATATAGACCTCCATTTTATCTAATCAGGATAATAGCATCAGTTACGAGAACAATGTGTGTCATGAAAAATTATTGTTATCATTTTAGTGTTCTCTTTTAAATACTAGTAAGTCTTCAGTTTGTAGCTTGGAGGGGAAAATATTCAGTGTTATGTGCTGAAACTCCCACACTGTGAATTGAAATTTAAATGTATGTTTATTATTTTAAGAAATTATACTTTGCAAAATTATCTGTGCATGCTATTTAAATGTATGTGTAAAAGCTAACAAATAAGCTAACATAAATTCATTGAGAATTATTAATTTTTTTGTTATTTTCCATTTTTGATTGCATTTGGAGTCACACCGCCCGTATTTACTCCTGACTCTGTGCCCAGGGATCAGTCTTAGTAGTGTTCAGGGCATCAAACTTGCATGGGCTGAGTGCAAGGCAAAAGCTTGACCCCTCTACTATCTCTCTAGCCCTATTAAAAATATTGAGTTAGTTTTTTTTAGAAAATATAGATAAAGATGGAGATTAAATTTCAGTATGCAGGATTTAATTTGATTGACAAAGAGCACTTAATTTTATTTAGCTACAAGTTTAGCCCTAGAGCAGCACTGTGGGAGCCCTGGAAGCCCACTGGACCCAAAAACCACACCACTAGCTGACCCTGAAACATCAAGTCATATCATCCTGGTACATTGAGGCAGTGGACCATGAGCCCTATAATACACAATACCATAATGTCGTCTATATTCAAAATATTCTGCTTGCCTGGGATTATATCTGCAGGAAAGAATCAAAAGCACAAAGTCAATTTTCTCATACTAAAATTTTGTATTTATAAGCCTGAGAAACTATTTTATAATAAAACAGTGAAATATATGGCCTTAAAAGTTTTAATAATAAAATCATAGTAGGAATGTATGTAAATCAGCTGTATCCGTGTGGCCAAGAAGTTTCTTATTTGGGAGAGGTTTTTTACTTTGGACCTCATTAACCTCATATATATTTTTGTACTCCTCAAAATTCAGCATTTGGAGAAAATATGTGTTTGGTGCATCTTTCATTAAACATACTTCATTTTTTTGGTGGGGGGGAGGGGATGATTTTGAGGCACACCTGAAAGTGCTCAGGGATTACTTCTGACTCTGTACTCAGGAATCACTCCTGGCAGGCCTTAGGTCTTTATGTCATTTGGGGCTGGGGGGGGGGCATCAAACCCGGTTCAGCCAGCCACTTACAGAACAAGTGCCCTACCTGCTGTATTATATCTCCTAAGCATTCATTTATATCTCTCTGGTCCTAAACATACATTTTAAAGATGGACTAATCCTAGTGGTTACCTTGACCTGTAGTTAAAATTTTAAATTGCCACATCACTGGAGCCATAGCAGAGCGGTAGGGCGTTTGCCTGGCGTGCAGCCAGCCCAGCCGAAGCCTGGCAAGCTACCCATGACGTATTTCAATATGTCAAACACAGTAACAATAAGTCTCACGATGGAGACGTTACTGGGCCCGCTCGAGCAAATTGATGAATAACGGGAGGACCATGACCGTGACCATGGCCACATTATAAATGAAAATGTCCTATATCTGAAGGAGTATTCATTACCTCTAGAGAGGGAGAATGAGGTCCCAGATATCAAAATTTATAGGGAAGTTTGAGTTTTGCAGCGTCTACAGATTTCATTGATTCAGTTCAGTTGGCCATGGGT